TCTAGTCACCTGTATACCAACTTCTCGCTTTCCACTACAGAACTGATGAAAGTTGTCACTGCTCCTCAGAGACTTCTCATTCCCCTTTAAACATGCCTCGGGCCCGGCCAGGAGTGGCTCAGTGGTTGAGCATCGACCTAGGATCCAGGAGATCGGGGATCGATTCCCGGTCAGGGCACATGCCCGGGTTGCGGGCTGCAGCAGATCAATGACTCTCTCATCATTGATGTTTCTACCTCTCTCTCTCCCTCTCTCTGAAATCAATAAACATATATTAAAAATAAATAAATAAACATGCCTCGGTGCTTTCAAGGTTCGGCCCCAGAATAGGTGTGGGCAGCCTGGGTCTGGGGTTTGGGGTCACCCGGCCTTCCCAGGCCCACTATGCAAAACGCTGGTTAGGCATGGGGCTTTTAAAGCTCTTTCCAAAAGATTTCATATGACTGGAACCTCCTTTAAAATACTCTGTGCCAAGGGTGTGGGAGACCAGGGTGAGGGTGATAATCGCTGAGGGTGACCTCCTGTCTCCTTGTCCTCTCCCTTCCCCTGCCGTGTCTTGAAACCATCTGCATCCAATTAAAGTGGAAAGCGGCCTGAACAAGCAGAGAAACCTGGGAACTGTGTGTCAGCACCTCCCCGTGGGCAGGCCTGGGCTTCATGTCTCCCCATTCAGACGCTGTGTGCTTTGCCAGCATCAAACACTCTTGGGGGCAAGGATGGGGCGTTGTTGACCTGACTGGGTTTCACTGTGCCTCCCTGGACTAAAAAAGTCGGGCATGCTGAGTGCACAGATGCGACAAAGGGTTCTGTCCTGGGGATTAACTCTCCACCAAGTGGGAACTTGAGAAAACATGTGCTGGAAGCACAGCCTTGGGTGTTCCTGCTGGGCTGGGGCTGCCGGAGGGAACCACAGTGGGGGCGGGCGCGGGCGCCTCCCCGCAGCTGAATGCAGGACTGCCTGCGAGCACTGGCCAAAAGGGTTGGCTGTGTCCCTGGCTGCCTTCAGTACATCATCGGCACTGTGTATAGCTCCTGTCCTCTCCATGGGCAGCTTCAGCTCCAGTGTGCGCTTCTGGGGTTTGAGCATCTGATATATATCCCAAGAAGTAAACACCGCCTAGTCTCCATCCAAGTCTTGAGAGTTTCCTGTTGTCCGAGCCAGTCTGTGGACAGCACACACATCTGTATTTCATCAACTCAGAGAGGCGCCTACGCGAGAGGCAGACAGGGCAGCTGAGGGGCCGGCCTGAAATGGGCCCAACTTTCTGGAAAGCCTGTCCTGAGAAGCTGCTAGAACCAGTCCCAGAGGCCCCTCTTCTTGGCCTGCTCCATGGAGACCCTCAGTCAGAGCATGGGTGACTGAAGAATTAACAGCCTCATTTTCTACCAAGCAGCACACACACTGTTGCCAAATCTCCCCACTTCTCTGATCTAAGATAAACAGTCCCATTTGTGTGCAGGGAACAGGGGAGGCACACACAGGTGCTGCAGCTGGACCCCATCGTAGGACCTATGATCGAGAACTCTGCCTCCAGGAAGGGCCCTTTGAGTGGCTCAGGGAGCCCACCACCAGGCTTCCATTCTCCTATGGGACCCCCATGATCACAGAATGGATGAATGGATGTGAGGTGGGGGTCCCCTGAAGGCAGGGTGGCTCCTAACTCAAGTCCAGCTACCAGGCATGCTGCTCTCCCCTGCATCCCCAACTTCCCACTCTACCATGAACCAGAATCCAGGGAAATGACTGAGGGTGCAGGGCCTAATGACATGACAGGGGCTCCCCTGAGGACTTCCTGGGAGTCCTGGCCCCTTCCCTGTCCAGCATGGGAAAAGAGCTGAATGGAGCTGGCCCAGTGGCTGCTCAGACAGCAAAGCAGTTGCTTTGTTTCTGAAACCATGTGCTGCTTCTTATCAGAAATTAGACATTTAAAGACTACCTAAGAATAAGTGATTTACATAAATGAGCAGGAGAGTCGATTCTCTTCTAACGGAGACATCGGTAACCTTCCTTTTCGAGGCCTCCATCTACTACGGCACCGTGTATTCGAGAACTTGAGTGTTTGAACTGCTTGCCCCAGTCCTCCTGAGAGAAGGGGCCGCGTGTGGGAATGAGGAGGGCAGACAGAACCCCTGGGCCCTCTCCCATCCAGTCCCTGGTACGGGAGAGGGCCACAGGGAGGGGGGTGGGAACAGCAGCTTTTCTCCTGGCACAAGCCATGGAAAGTGGCAAAAATCCTAAAATAGGTCAAATCCCTCAGAGAATTTGGACAGCTGTTTCTTGGGACCCACAATTCTCCAAAGACCCCCTGCCTTTCAGGAACGCAGACTTAGTGGCGTGGGAGCCTCGCCTTGCATATGGCACGCACAGGCCCCACACACACCTGGAATGGGAAGCACTGCAGGCCAGGGCTTCCATGGCTGGCTGGCTCGTTTGGTATCTGCACAGGCTGGGGACTCCGGAGCTCCAGAAGCAGGAGGTGAAAGGTGAGGACTGAACCCTAACTGGTTTGGCTCAGTGGTTAGAGCATCTGCTCATGGACTGAAGGGTCCGGGTCCGATTCTGGTCAAAGGCATGTACCTCGGTTGCAGACTCGATTCCCACCCCAGTCGGGGCACATGTGGGAGGCAACCAGTGGGTGTGTGTCTCTCACATCAATGTTTCTCTCTCTCAACCTCTCTCCCTTCCACTCTCTCTGAAAAGCAATGGAGAAAATATCTCAGGTGAGGATTTAAAAAAACAGACCAGATGCACCCTCGCTGACGTTGTCTCATCATCTCTGTGACCTCTCTGAGCTCCAACTTTCTCTCCTGTGAGGGGGCTCATCCCTACACCTTGGGGCAATGAGTGTAGACAGCAAACAGCTAAGGGCATGTGCTGCTACTACTTGGAGCTCCAGGGGTTTCATGTTGGAGGCAAATGTGTGTGTACCATGCTACAGACACGCCTCTTTATTCATTTACAGCCGCTTTTGGGCCTTAGCTAGGTGAGTGCCCATGCTGGGTCTCTGAGGTGGTGGCACAGAGCCCCCCACTGTGTTGGTCTGCCAGTTCAGAGGGGTTTGAGCAGAGCAGATGAAGGTCTGTCCAAGCCCCAGAAGCTTGACGGCTCTGATCGAGGCACACCACAGACAGACCTAGTCCCTTATCAGCTGTGCAGATTGACATTCCCATCAGCAGCAAACAGCCCAGGCCAGAAACCACATTCATGCTCTCCTTTAGGCCTTGCTGGGTGCTTTGTAAGGCATGTCCAGAGCCCCATCTTCTTGTACCTTAAGGATGGCACCCTGGGCTGGAAGTTCTCCAAGGGGGGCCCCTGACCTGCCAGATCTAGGCAGTAAGTGGGTCTGAGCTAGGACACTAAGGCCCGTCTAAGGGGGCCCCTCCACCACACCTGGCCCTCCTCTGCTGCTCTCCCCTCTGGGCGTTCCCTCCTCCATCTGTATCTACCTATGACAAGGGCAGTGCTGGCACATCTGTGCTGGGGGAACCGAGGGCTGGGTGGGCGACTGGTCACCAGCAACCTGCCTGCCCTGAGCTTCCTGCCGCTGTCCCGAGGCCCAGCACAGGAGACTGCCTGGAGCACTGTGGGCAACACCCGCCTCTGTAGCTGCTCCATGGTACTTGAGTGCCACATCCAACACAGATAGCTGGGACCATGGGTCTGCTCTGGGCCAGCACCCCTGGCCCTCCCTTTTGGAGAGGCAGATGGGGAGGAGCCGGGGAGGAGGGTCACAGAGCAGGACTTCAGAAGGCCCCCCTGCTTTTCCTATCAGGAAACACATCCTGTTAGTGTCTGGCTGCTGCAGCCGGCAGCTATTTGTTGCAGTTGGCTACGCCCTCCAGCTCACCAAAAACAGCCTCAAAAACAACCATTTCCTCTCTGCTGAGAGACAGAGGGAAAATGCAGTGCGTGTGCGCGCACGCACACACACACACACACACA